CCGGGTATGTCACATAACCTGCTTTCTGGAATACCCCCCAGGACAGCAGCAGCAGACCCTCTAAACATCAGCACACCTGACACACAAACTACTTCCTGTTTTTCAGGCTTGGAAGAATGGAACAACATACTCCATCAGTGTCCTGAGACCCCTGTGTTCATCCATTCACCCATCTTCCATACCACAGCAAACCTGGAACCTTTCCCAGGCAGCACAGGGGAGAAGGCAGAGGAACACCTTGGACAGGATGCCAATCAGTGTTTCCAATATTGCATATTTCTGATCTGACTTTATCACTGCAGGTAAAAGTCTATCAAGCAGCTTTTTATCTGTATATTTAACAAAATTTATATTTTTCTAACCATGTGATTGAGTTCAGACACCACATGGGGGCCTCATCGCTGCTTAGCTGTAAACCCCTCAGGGAGAGAGAGAAACCAGCCAATAAGGAGGAAGAGGATGTTGCTGGTAAGACTGTCAGTTTGTTTGTGTGGGCGTGAGCATTAGCTGCTCTAACCCCACACATCCTGTCTTCTCTCAGTCTGAGAGGCATCAGCAGAGGAAACTTCACGCAGCGTCTCCCTGAACACAGGATGGACTTTCTGCTTCACAGGACGTGTCCTCTCTGAGGAGCTGCCCTCGGTATGAAGATGTGGAGGACAGTGTGGGAGACCCTCTCTCAGGTAGGGGGCTGAGGTCTGTGGATGTGGGGCTTAGTGCAGTGCTTACAGTGGGATTCTGGAAGAAGCACATAATCTACTCTTCATTGTTGCAGAATTAGTGAAAGTTTGTTAAAAATGCTGGATTTAGTCTGTGTAATTTATGCTGTGTAATTTAGTCTAGTTTATCTCAGTACCTCGTTCCTTCTCAGTATATCTTTTAACCTCTTATTACATGCTTGTGACAATGTCATGCAGACACATTAAATAAACGGTTCAGTTGTAGCTCTGTGTGTAGCATTGTCACCTCCCACCTCCACTATTGGGGGGTTAAATCCTGCCCCCATATTTAAGCTTCAATGCTCTTGCTGCAGCTACACCAGTCTCCTCTGGGAACTCCGGTTTCCTCTTGCAGTCCAATATCATGCAATTAGGCAAACTGTTGTCTGTAAATTACCCATAATGTCTTGTTGTTAGTGTGTCCTGTGATGGAATGGTACCCTGTTCTGGCTGTTCCTCTGCCATGTGCCCTACACCACCTGTGATAGGCTCCAGTCTTGCCCTGATCCTGTACTGCATAATTCATTGGAATATGGCTGGTTTTCATAATGTGACAAGGAAGCTTGTGAGAAAAGACCCACAGGGGATGATGGGGATACTGCTGGGCAGAACTCAGGCAGTTTGTTTGACGTCAGGCTAATGTACCATAATTACACTAAACTGTCTTTACTGTTTCAGGTTCAGCTTTGATGGTGACAGGAGACACAGAAGAGGACTATGATGATGTAGATGGTATAGAGCAGGGTCCACATGTTATACAGGGTCAGTTTCTCTTTACACAGAAGTAATGCAGTGAATCACAGCCTGTCACACCACAGTGTTCCTCTCAGATGGTTATATAAGTTCCTTTTATTTTTATGTGCTATTTCTCAATGAAAGACATCAGTTACAAATCATGCTCTATAGGCAAATCACTTCCCTAATAAACATTATTTACTCATAAATATAGTGACTCATTTATATTCAGTCTCACTAACCTGTGTCCCCTCCTCTGTCCCTGTAGGTGAGAGAGCCTTGACCACACTGCCCCCTGGGGACGGCCCCCCTGAACCCGACCAGACTGACTATGAGGATGTGGGGGAGGAGGGACTAACAGTCCTGCCTGAAGAAAGGTTCACATACTGTAAAAGGGCCACGTTGGCTTCATATTTTATACAAACCCCATCAATAGTTCAGTTTTTGTAAATTCATCTGTTTCTTTTTAAAATGGACATTATCCTTTATTAAATACTATATCTTTGTAATTTTATTCATGACAAATGAAATAAACATACATTAAATTCAAATACTATGAGATTGAGTATAAGCATACTTCAAATTCCAGCAACACTGACCAAGAATCTTCCATAACCATTATCCAGTACAGGGTTGCAGTGAGCCTGGGATCCACACAGGAAGCATGAGGCAAGGGGCACACTGGGCAGGATGCCAGTCAGTCACAGGCCACACAGACACTCACTATGGGCAGCTTAGTGTCACCAGTTAACCTAACTGCATGT